ACCTCTTCTACAGTGTGATTGGTTATCTCTCTGAACCAATCATTTTTCCTTCTGTAAAACTCCCATAAGCCAAAACTCCCAGTATCCCTAAGTTCTGGCCTAAAATCAACCCAGCTTTCCCAGAGACAGACGGTCTGTTCAAAGTCATCAAAGACAGCCGGAGAGCTGAAAGCAGCAGTCAAGCTGTGGTCAGACCCTGAGGCCAAAGCTCCAAAGCTCCAGTGCAGCACAGGCGGTCCTGAGGAGACACTGCTGACCAGCAGCCAAAAGCTCTCTGTTCCAGGCTCATCACTTCATTTATCTATCTGCATTTCCACGTAGGTGATGGTTAATCATAGTAGAGGACAGGTAAAAATGAATACAATCCCATCTAAAAATGACGTGGAATCACCTAGCAATAGTGGAGTATTTCTGGTATGTAATATATCTTAAGAAGCATGGAGAAAAAAATATACACTAAAGAAGGAGCATCGTTTTGTCTGACAATGGCCTGCATAACATTTGTATAAATACACTCTATGCAGTTAATGCAGTACCACTGTTCCCCACAGACAGGTCTAGTCTTTTCTTCTCCCTACAACAACGGAGCTGAAATGGAGATAAAACATACAGAAATGTCTTTTACAATTTTCCGGTTCCCGGTTTATGGGCTACACAGTAATATGCAGTGAAAGCATATTGAGAGCCTGATCCTTTTTCTTGCCATAGATGAAGGCTCATTTTCTCCCTGCATGGACTGACTCATTTAATGTACGAACAGGTACTGCATGCTGGCACGGAGAGCGGTCCACACACTGGCAGACAAAATATGCCACATATCTGCACAGAGTACAGCATACACACACTCGCTGGAAAAAAATGCACCACAAAACCAGCACACTACATAGTGATGGAGAAAATGTGCTTCATTAAGACAGTGTATGTGGAGGAAGCGTCATGAGTCATCAAACGTGCTCATTGAGGTATTAAGAGATAAACACATCAGGGCAAACAGAACAAACAGCTCAACAAATAATAGGCTTTTATCACTGCGCAAAACAGCATGCGCTCCACTAAGTAATTAAGGAGTGCTACTTGGTGAGAGATGAACAGGAACAACCACTGAGAGCGGAGAGACAGCTCAGAGGAACAGGAGAGTCTCTACAAGGGGCAAGAAGAATATGTGAAATGTCACTGCAATCCTGAACTTCGAAAGGGATTCATTACATCTGATAAAGCACCTCACCTTTAAGATACAATTAGATTAGATACCTCTTCCTAAGGCATTCTTTTAGTAGCACAGTCACCTCACTAGCCCATAGGTTCCCATTGGCAACAAAGGCAGTTTAGGTGTCTCCCGACCTGCCTGTAAAGTTTCCATTGATAATACAGGCACTTTAGGTGTCCTCTGACCTGCCTGTAATGTTTCCATTTGTAACACAGGCAGTTTAGGTGTCTTCTGGCCTGCCTGTAAAGTTTCCATTTGTAACACACATAGTTTAGGTGACTCCTGACCTGCCTGTAGTTTTCCATTAGCAGTTTAGGTGTCAGTATTTTTTTGCGGGTAGCACACACTCTGTTCCTGTGAGCCATAAAACAAGCGTCTATTCAGCAGCTCTCTCAGGATCTGAGTCTTTGATCCAGCTGTTCTGTGCGCCATGTTCTGGTGGCCAAGAGTACTATGATGCCCTCAGTGTCAGTCCAAATAAAATCTGGGAAGCAGACATACAGTACGAGGGTGAAAGAGAATCTGCCTTGCATTTATTTACTGGGTCCAAATCCAGTATAAATACATACTTTTGTGGAGAGATGTGCATGCAACACTTAATTAAAACTGCATGAATATGGGCAAAAGTAACATACATAAAATTGTATATGTAAATGAAGTACTGTATATGAATCAAATTTGACCTTTTAAGTTCAAAACTGCCACTAAAAGAGATCACCATTCCTAAAACAGAAATATATATTATTCATAATGTCTTATAAATATTTATAAATATTAAGTTATCAATAATTTTGAGTGCTCAGTCTCAAAAGCATGAATTAAACAGTCAACAAGGGACGGAGAATCATGGTGAATTCATTGCCCCATCTTAGTACGCAGAGCAAAAACACCATATGTCACACACATTGCAAATGATTTTATAAGTCAATTATCTGCAAAAAATCCAGACTAATTTCTCGTCAAGTTTAAGCAGGTGTAAACGAAAACGCTTCAGATAACTCAGCCTAGCCTGGCTGTCACGAATACCACCTTTCAGCTGCTGTGCTTGATTTGATTTGAGTATGCCTCTCTGTCACTGAACAATAAGCTGTTTGCAAAATAACTCAGTACATACTCTGAAAAAAGCGCACGGTGCATGTTGATAATACAATGGCCAGCACCCAAGGACACATTCCACTGTGGGAGGTGCTGTTAAGGGAAAACCTTACTGTCCAGTACAATACAGGAGCCAGCCGTCAATGAGAGTCACTGACATTTTAATCTTCATGGTTTTAAAAGACACACAGACCAGTTAAAAATGATACATTCCAGCCTGAGTCTACCAAGAATTCCCCAAGTGATCTGCACACTGCGGAGTAAACACTACCAAGGAACCAGAGCTGAGGAAATTAATGGGCTCCATAAAACAGGTGGCCGTGCTGTTACAACTCCCCCCATTGTCCAGTATATGCAAAACACACCACTAATACATATGGGACACTCTAAGTACACACATTTCTTGACTTCGATAAGCAAGATAAAGAAGGCGAATGCAAGTCCCAAGACCTGCTGCTGGACCCCTGACAGAGTTACAGGAACCATTATTATATCTCGTTGAATCAGTAGGACTGCACAACCAACTTAGATAAGTGTCTTATATGATTAAATATAGTTTGTAAGGACAAGCTCAGCTGTAAAAGCTCCTGCTGGGACTGTGTCAGCCTGAGACGCCTGATTGCCTTTGAAATCAACGTCCAAGTCAAACGCCCTTGTGGTGAGTGACAGGCTGTAGGAGGAGGTCCCTCTAAATACAGACGCAGACACGCACTGGCAGGAAGCAGCAGGTTACTCCTCCACAGCGGGGCCTACATTGCTACACTTACGAGTCTCCCCCACAGGTAGCTGCCCCCCCCTCCCCCCCCACCAGATCAGAGCCCATAAAACAGAAGGATGATTTCGTCCACCCTTCTCGTCGCTATGAACCTGGCGCTAGACTGCAGTGTGGAAGATAAGAAGTGTTCATTCTAAGGTCAGTACGCCGTCTGAAAAAAAGAGCACCGATCTGTTCCTTTGCCTGTCACTGAGGCTGTACCCTCAAAGGTCTGCCTAATAGTCCATATCTGTACCTTAAAAGGTACAATTACCTACAGCAGTAGCGTATAATTGCCAGACCCTTGGGGTACAACCCCAGTGACTTTTTTCTGCTGAAGTTCACCCCACGCCTGTGAGGGCCATAGCTGTTTCCATGTTTGACGCAGATTCCCATATTCTCACCTAAAGTCTTGCCCCCTCCCTTATTGGGCCCATAAAGAACGACGCACTGACTGAGGGCTGTTACACGGATGGCAGGTTGCCAGCAACTGGGCCGTGAACCTGCACACATCCAGACAGAATTAAACACGCTGAACCAAGCCTGCCCTTCTAACTGGATCATATAATCTCTGGAGGAGTGAACACCAGCCCTTGTTTTTTGGGTCTTTGGCTGAAGCCCCACTGGCGAGTGCAATTTAACCGTGAACCAGGAATTCTTGACCTAATATATAGCCTACCACTGTGCATAGGGGAACCTCCATCTCTTGTGAGCGGAGAGTTCTGAGTTATACACAAACACACTCACTCACAAAGCAGGTGTGACAGCAGAGCTGTACAGATGTGATCTGTCAACCCATACTCCCTTTCTGACTCGACCATATAGCAATCCGAAGGCAGTAAAGAGAACATCCCCCCTAGGGGGTATCCCTACTTTACTCCTAAATATGTCACTCCACTCACTCCGCACGTCAGGCGCGCGACAATACCGGAAGACACGCGCAGCTGAGAAGCAAGTACGCTGAAGATGCGGAGACCGCCTCGCGCTTACACGCGCTTGCATTGTCGTACAAGGCACGAGCGACCCTGACTCGAGAGATTCCCTGTTTGACGCAGGACGCACGGATGTTACTGACAGGGCACCGTCATGGATGGAGAGCGCGCCTCCTCCATCACCACTCCGGAGTCAACGAAATCTCTCTCTGCTCTTTCCAGAGAGTTTAACCGCGCGTCTCTATCACCTCATCAATATTATTCCTCATAAACCTGCTCCTGATTGCACAGGTTTTGTGATAATTCACCTTTAGCTCGTCAACATAAACATATTTTTTCGATTTAAAGAATACCTGCTCATTTTCCTCGATCTTCTGGTTTATTTAAAAGGCACATATCGAAGAAATCCTTCATCCAAGGCTCAGAATACATCTTACCGAACACTTCAGTGAAAGCTACATTTCATTCATGGTTTTACAACTATCGTGCACGTATAATATCGAAAGAACAAGCTCGCACAATAGAAAGGTGGTTAATCCCTGGGCAATATCTAGTGTGAATATTTAGTGATGCATGTTATTTTTTAATGATGAAGTCGAATCTTAGGGAAAACCGCGTGCTCAGATAATGAATTCGGCAATGTCTTGTTACATTTAAACTGTGCAATAAGACTAAAGTAGACCGTATTGTTGCATATTTTTCATACTTTGTAGCGTTTTATATATCCACATTTCAGGTTTGCGAACAGAAATTAGATACAAACGGAGACAGTTCGGTGTTTGAGCAATCACGTCACTTTGCATTTTAAAAACTGGAGTACAATGTAAGTACTAACCGGACAATTGCAAAATATAACTTTCAAGGACGTGTATGCATTTATGATTTAAATGACAATAATAAAATGCAATAACTGCAATTAAAAATACAGAGAAATTTCGGACACACAGTGATGACAGAAAATATTTTTTAAAGAGAACAAGCAAAACCTCGCGTTTATTTAAATTGCAATTACCTGTTTCGGTGAAGGTCTGCAGCGCCGGGATCAGTCGGTCCGAGCGTCCGGAAAATGAAGCGGTTCTTGTTTTAAGTGAAAGGTTGGTCTTCGGCGCAGGTGATCCCTTGCTGTTCTCTGATGCTTTCAATGCTGTGAGCCAGTAGAGGCGTACGATACCGAAAGATAGCAGTTTTAAAGGGTGGAGAAATAATGAGGAAGAAAAAAATAAAATGAAATAATACTTATGTCCCAAAACACAGTGACCGTAGGCGTTTGAGATCTCTGGCAGTAAGGAAACAAATCCGGAATTACCTGAGACATATCGGGGTTCCGCTCGGGCAGGATGCAGCCGACGGTGTTCCTCCTCACTCGCTGGAAACAGATTACGATGCTGAACAAAAGGCAGCGAACAAGAAACAGATTCACCAGAGGCTGGGGATCTAGTAGGTGCAAAGCGGGGGTGCGATTTTACCAATATATGGCTTATGTGTTTGCTAATTATTTACTTCTTGCACACAACGCACCGGCACGAGGGGATAAATCAGTTAATTACAGTTAATCCTTTGGTTTACAGACGCTTTCACCTGCGAATCCTGACTCAATAAATTTTGCATGGAACCTACTTATTAAAATAAAATATGACCTTTTAGCTGTATTTTTTGACCTAACAAGACGTTTATAAAGTGATACAGTTATTATGATGTATTAACTTGAGGAAAGGTGCCTTTCAAGTATTATAATTAACTCCCCATTAACATAAGACACTATTAATTTATGAACTTGTTATACTGTATACTGAAATAGCGCGTAATTTATAATGCGTAATTTAATCATGCGCATTTGGGTATAGTGTAAATATGACCACGGGCATAGTTAGAGATGAATGGATAGGGGGGACGAGTTTTTAGAAAAAGGTGGGGGGGGGGTCGATGGCAAACTATCCATGACTTAAGGCAATAAATATACATTTATTTGGGAGGGGGGCATTTTCGGGGGCTATAGGCCCCCTAAAATAGGCATATAACGACACCCCTGCAGCATGATTATATGAAGACCTATATAATTTACTTTATAAGTAATCCAAAAAAGCAAGTCTGAAAGGGCCACATAAACTAGTCACCCGTTGAACACTTCTGCTTCTAGGTTGTTTTTTTTTTTATATCTCGGAGGTTCCATGGCAACAACATTTCTTTTTCGTTGTTATTTATTTACGCGTTTGGGGATTAAGGATGAATACATCAATTTATGTTGTTTACCTCTGCAACTGAGGATGCCTATATATTAATTATTAATCCATCAAGTGAACTTTATTTCTGGTTTTCCACAAACCAGCCTCCTGCATTCATTTCTCATGAGTCATGAGGGAAAATGCACAACAGCCTAGTGAAACTACATTCCAGCTCCATACAGGGACAAGCATTCATATTTTAGTAATTAACCAAAAAGCAGTCTGCTCAAGTGCCATTTATGGGAATAATAGCAGAATCTGACGCTACTTAGCAGTACTTATTTGAAACATGCTGCTACTTCAAGAATCTGTAGGTTGCACTGGATAAGAAATCAGCCAGTGACTACATAACAATAAACGTTTAAGAGATCTAGGCTGACATCGCTTAATTCCTGCATTTTGTCTTTTTTAAGTAGTCATTTTGAATGCTGATAATCTGACCAAACACCTTGAGGCAGCCTACAGACTTATTCTAATCTGTGACGCAGATTTAATGGTGCTGTCAACAACATAATTATGTTGTGCAGGGTTTTATTGTCTGACATCTTTGTGAATCATTCTGTTTACCGCTCTCATTTTGCACCTGCCACTGAAGCGGCACCTTGGATTCATAGGCATGGAGTAAGCTTGTCGATATTTAACAGCACGAAGATAGCGCAAGGCAAAATTAAAGCGTGGTAGTCAACTGGACCTAATAACACTAATAATGTCAATTGGACCTAATAACACTATATGACTGCACCACAACACTGACTGTATTGACCAAAGATAAAACACCGATATGCTAATGATCACCTACAGAGGTTTGTACCAACCGAAACCATGAATCCGTTATAACATATTTGGTCTCCCTGTAGCACAGATGTTACTATATACATATGCTTTGCTCTGCGGTGTAAAGCAAGCCGGGCTTAGGATTAACAGTTTGTACCTCTATCATATCAGTGTATCGGGCTTATAATGAATACAAATGGGACTCTGGCAAAAATGCATGTATTTCTTAGGCTAATTTGACTTTTCGCAACAGGTTCAGAAAGCTAAAAGGAAGACAGATCTAGTCGGGCTTTGAACGCCGCCATTTACAAGCAAGCGTGAGGATAAAGGAAAACCAAGATCAAGATCCGTCTGTAAAACTTCCCCTGGAGGGAGGCGGGGAGCACTTTGGCGTGTATTTTATAGGCTTATGAATTAAGACATAAAATTTATGATAGTAATTGCAGATGCAGAAATAAATCTTAGCCTTCGTGCGAAAAAGAGCCTTATAGCAACACGCTTAAAAGTCAGATCTGCGGAAATAAAAGTGACAGGAAAATATATGCAAATGCAGGCTGCAGAAGGTGTTGTGTCTCTGTGCAAACAGCGGGTGAGCGTTTATGTGTGGTGGAGATGGGAGGACGGGGGTGTATTTCTGCACTCTCCCCCCCCCACCTTGGAAAAAACGGTGTGTAGGAAGCTGGGCAGCGAGCCAGGGCTGGGGACAGAGGAGCATGAAGTCAATCAGCCTGCTGCCGTGGTGTCGGCGACAGACGGGGCGAGGGGGTGCTGCAAAAAGGGGTAAAAAACCTGCTCCGGGTGTAAACGCTCAGCGAGTCCCCGTTTGACCTGCCAAAGAGCTGCTTTCATTTCGAATGAACCGGTAATTAGCGGACCATTATCTCCGTCCACGCGAGACATCGGAAGTAGATACCCGATATAAACCCACCCAGGATAACAGCAAGCTTTTATCAGTTTTAAATAAAAGCCTCACGCATTTATTTAAAACTTAAACATAAAAATTTAACAAAGAACAAAGCCCACTTTGAGTGTGGCTCTGTGGTCTTGTGCTTCCCTACCTGTCACCGGGTCGAATCTCATGCTTGGCTTAATAGTCACGTTGCTGCTGGGCCCTGGAACAAGGCCCTTAACCCCCAGAAAAATTGCTCCTGGCTGCTGGATAAATGGCCTGACCCTCCACTCAGACCCCAAGCGTTGCTGTCACCTGTATATAACTAAAAGGAGAGCAAGCTAGGATGTATGAAAAGCTTGTGAATGATGGAGAACTAATGGAGAGGACAGAGATCACCTTGTGTGGGATGTGTAGAGTGAACTGTAGTTATTAAATAGGACTGTTGTTAATATCAAAAGTAAAAAATGTAATGTTACAAATAATAAATTTCGTAAAACAAATAAAATATATTAAATGTATCTAAATGGCTGTGCTTTCCACATGAAAAAACACATTCTGCACCATCATAACAACAGTGGTATGCAGTGGTAGTGCTGTGGTGGTGATTTGCAGTGTCCGCTGACTTGGAAAGAGTGTGTGGTGAGTGCAGTGAACATGTGCCCGTGGTCTGCGGGATCCTGCACTGGTGAACACCTCTTCCACCTGCAAACACTGGGAGCCGCCAAAGGGGCTTTCTGTCAGCCCGGGGCCTGCTGGCCGCAGCCCAAAAACCCCCCAGCATCTCTGCGTGTGATTTACTGTAGCTGGTGCATTAATGCATTACAGCTCACACTGACTTACAGCTCACACTGACTTACAGCTCACACTGACGCCTTTTCTCTTCCCTACTCACCATGCTTGTGGACACCAGAGCTGCGGAGATGTAGTTGTGTGAAGGCTCACTGGGTACAGCGACAGAACGAACCTCCAAGAGACCGCTTCAGATGGGGACACTGGTGTGGCTCTGTAATTATGTAATTAACTTGAAAACAAGTCGCTGCCAGTTGCCACTGCAAGGTGAGCTGGGGGCCTTGGACGACCACAACAGCCAAATTCTTAGGACCCAAGCCCCCCCTCCCATCCACACTGTATCCAATGCCATCTGCAAGAGGACTGTGTCATCCAAGAGCAGCTCTTCAGGCTCCAACACACATAGAATCCGGAGTCAACACGCAAGCCAGTGCGATGAGACAGATCTCTGCAGCATCACCAAGTCTTCATGGCGGTACTGTCATCACCTTCCAGAAGAAAGGTTAACAGAACCAGCCCCCCTTTACAGCCAGTCATCCAGGGCGTACTCTGTGGAGCAGTAATATTTCACGAAGCTCTTGTTTTAATCACTAGTAATTCATAATAAGATCTAATGATTTCATTATAATAAAAGTTTGTGCTTACGTTCCATTAATATGCAACTGTTATGAGGTAGAAAATACTTCTATCACACTGGCAAGTTATAAAATGACTTATGTCTCCTCTGACAAGCAATAAAAGAATCATAAACCACTTTATGGAAATTCTGTTCTGTGAAAAGCGTATGTCAGGTTCTGGGACACTAACTGTCAGGCTTCACTGTCTCCTGCCAAGATGCCCTAAATTTACCTGGTTTTCTGCAATATTCTGTTCAGGCCACGAAACAAAATCTCAGTGCTGGTTGGTCATCTAGGCTGAAAATGGGGTTTTAATTAATTTTTTTATTCATATACCCCCCCCCCCCATCCTATCTTTTGATATGATCCCAAAAATATACTCAGAATTTCATAAATGCGTAGGATTGGAATGGAAAACTGAAATTAAATATTTTACGTTGAAATTATGCTTATTCAGAAGTTGTAAGTCGAACGTGTACAAAATGTCATGCACATCATAAAGACAAGCGCCTGTTTTCAAAGACTGATTAGGTAATTGTGTATTCAGGGCATTCATTTTTTTTTTTAACTTAAACACAGCATGAAGCCTTTAACGAGATATCATAGACTGCACATTATCTGCAGCTCGGGACAAGGTACATTTTAGAATTTGCCTGGGGAGTTTTTGTGGGTGCATGGCATGAAATAGAGTTAAAATAATAAAAAAAAAAATTGATTTGACATCCTGGCTTTCGATGGGACTCACCTTCCAGGCTGTTGTACACCACGAATAGAAATGCTTACGTGATATATCGTGAATCAAGAGGGCATTGAATAATGGTGCTCCTTTCACATCACGTCGGACTGAATACACAAACAGGTATCAGCTGGGCACAGTGGATGCCTTGGGTCACATGACCAGGAATACTTACTGGGGAATGGTCACTCCAAGGGTATAGGAGCACGCAGTATGAATCCAAACGAGAGGCATCTTCATGTGGACACTCAGCCTGATTGAAACATGAATAAAGTTGTTAAATGAGTCCGACGCTATCAAAGGTTCAAAGCCACTGGGCAGATCTGCACCCAAAAACTGGCAAAAGAGACGCTGAAGGCCATTCCCAAGTTTTCATTGTCATGGAGACGTGTGGAGCTCTAGCATCCGCTGCGAGAGAGTCAATTGAAAACGGGCCCTTGATTGTGAATCTGGTTCACGTCTTCCCTCATTTAACAAGCGCGATATAAGCCATTTGTTGATAGTCCTAGTGATGGGGCCGGTTTGTGTTCAATAATAGATCACATCGACCACCTTAACAGCAGGCTCTGCTGCTGTCTAACAATCTATCTGCTGGGAAGTATTTTTGCTTTTTATTTTAAACAAAGCCTGCTTAATTATTGTAGACAGTTTAGATATCGCAATGTAGGTGGATAAAATCTCCTACTCCTACTGATACAAAATGACAATAAAAACAGCAGTTATGGCATTAATGCTGGCCTATT